GTGATTTGTCCAAGGTTATAAATTTCAGAAAAAAGAATAGTAATTATTTCATAGGAATCAAAAGTATGAAATGGTTTGATGATTTACAGTGCAGATTTTTCTCTTGTGTGTCAGCTGGCAATAGGACAGATGGAGATACTAGACTGAACAGAGGTAGGAGAGTGAGGGTGGGACAGTAAGATTTGGAAGTCATCCCTCTTTCCTTCTCAAATATGACATAGAGATCAGTGGGTAAAATCATCTGGAAGTCTCATGATTTCTTCACTCTAAAATTACCATGTTGTTTTCCAAATTCAGATTTAACCTATGCTTCAAAATGTTTTATTTAAAGCAAGTATAAATAAAAATGCAAGACCATGTGAACAAACAATTACTGGGCATGGTTTGGTTCTACTATCTATACCTTCAAACACCTCGTTATTTTGTAGCCATTTTTGAAAGCCATAAATTTTACCTGACCACTTAGAATAGGTTGCTTTATAAGACATACTAATAAAAACCATTTCTCTCCAAAGTAAAATATTACCATTAATAAAGCTTTGTTTGAATGAAAATTACCTTTAACAGGTTTTTCACCAGGTGGCTTAGAAGTATCTAAATCTGACTTCTTACTGTACTCCACACTTAGCACCACATCCTTGGGGCCAGGAGATTTCTCTTGTGATGACAATAATTCTTCTGTAGACATAAAAGTATTTAAAATAGTACCTAAATCATACTTTAACTATTAAGGAAGGCATCATGGTTTAATACTTAACATTTTTAGCAAAATGTATTATGAAGCAGTAATTAATTATAACTGCCTTCTTACGTAAAACAACTGCAGTCATCCATTTGAAATGACTTTTCACTTAAATGTGTGAACCACAGCTAACTGTCAGATGCAGGCTGAGTATCCCTAACCTAAAAATCTGAAACTGGTTGGCCACCCACATATGACACTCAAAGGAAATGCTCGTGGGAGCATTTCAGATTTTGCATTTCTAGGGATGTTCAATTGGTAAGTACTAAACAAATGCAAATATTCCAGAAAAAAAAATCCAAAATTCTAAATACTTTGGGTTCCAAGCATTCAGGTAAGGAATACTCAATCTGTATCTGAAGTAGGAGCTGCGGAATCAGTAGTTAAGTAACATCCATGGAACAGTAGAATCTGGTAGACAAAGGAATGATACGTGGTATGAGAATCAACTCTCCCCGCCAAGTCAGGTTTACATACAACGACTGCCACATGGACCAGTGTTCATAAGCGCCTTGTAAGAAGGTAACAGACACTGCTGGAAAGTGAGACCAGGAGGTGGAGTCTTCCTAAGCACGTGGTACCATTTCATTTTTAAAGCAGTTTCTTAATTTTCTTTTTTAGTCAGACTTAGTAAATATTCAACTTCCATCATGAACTTACCATAAAGACAAAGATAATACAAAATTGACAATACGTCCACACTCCTCATCATTTATTTGTGTGAATGAAGACAAACCAAAATAGAAACTATTTGCACCTAGGTGCCAGCTCACAGGCCTTGTCTCCTTTTTCATCTTCACAGCAACCCTGTGAGATAGCTACCTTTTAATAGATAAGGAAACAGGCTTGGAAGTCACCAAATTTCCCCAGACTACAAAAGTACTAAGAGAAAAAGTTGGCATTGTAAAAGTGGATCTGCTTGACTGCAGTGCCTGGACCCTTAATTCCTACACTAAGCTAAAATGCTTTCTCAAGATCTTAGTGATGAATAATAAGGCTTTCCAAAACACTGAATAATTGTAAATACATAAAATACTCTTTTATAGTTTCAGTCACATTCAAATCTCAATAAATGGCAGAACTATATAATTTATATGCCAAACTATGATACTTTTGAGAGTGAAAAGGAAGGCTAGTAAGAATTATGCAGAGTTAACAATTAGCAGTCAGGTAGAGTAAGAACTGACATATACTTTGGCAGGCCTACTCCAGAATAAGAAAATGCATTTCACCAAGGCATGCTTTTTGTTACATGGATAAATACCTTAAAGTCTTCATTTTTTTTTTTTTTAACTTCATTCAAATTAATATGAGAGTTCAATACTTAGGTTACACTGTTCTCACTTTCAGGGTAAAGTTCCATTTGTAGAGGAGCCCCTCACCCAGGGGGCGTGTTGTGCACCCTCACAAGGTGCACGGTAGGTGGGATCCCGCCTCGTGCCATGTGTCCTCCCCTGGCCACTCTCCTGCTTCCCTCTATCCCCAAACTCCACTATCATGGTGTTTCATTGTTCTTAGGAATATGTAATTGTTCATATATTGATTTCATATTAGTGCAGAGTACACTGGATACTTATTTTTCCATTCTTGTGATACTTTACTAAAAAGAATACCTTAAAGTCTTTCATTCAAAACTGTAGACAACTCTTGAAGTAGAAGGTGGGAAGACTAAAGATACTTTATATTCATAAACTTATGACAAAGTTCACTAGATACCGCTCAGCTATTTAGGCTTAGCTAATTCTGATGATGTGGGTACTAACTGATAGGGGTAAAATGTTAGGTATATATATTTTCTTAAGTATGTAATATTTTTTTAAATAGTAGGAAATCTTTATAGAGAATATAGAAATTTGCAGTTCTTATAAAGTCAGCAAAAACAGCAACTATACTAACTAGTTTTTAACTCTCATTTGTAAAAAATGCTTTAAAAGTTACATATGATATTGTTTACATAACGTTCTTGACATGATAAAATGGCATGGTAATAAAAGGGGATATACAAAGTGTATGGTAGGGGCATAAAGGAATACAGGAAGGTCTTCATAGCAAAGAATGGTCTGAATCTTGATTGTGGTGGTACTTATAGAAAACAACAGGTGAAACTCTATGGACGTATATACACACAGGTATGTAAAAGTGGAGAAGCCTGAACGTGGTGTGAGGATAATTCCAATGTCAATTTCCTGGTTGAGATACAGCGCCACAGACATTCAAGGTGTTACCACTGGTGGAATGTGGATGGAAAGGACGCACGACCTCTCTGTACTATTTTCAGGTAACTTCCTAGGAATCCATGAACATTTTTAAAATAAAAAAATGTGTAAATGATTTATCAGGTCTTTTCTGATGGCAGGCCACTTTATGGCAAAATGTGGTTTCTCATTCGTAATGTAACTCTGTGTACTAAGCATCACTTTTGTAAACAGGGAGGTAGCAAATGGATCAGTAGCCACGTAACAATTTTTCCTTACTTACCATGGATTTTTAAAAATTTGGCCACCCTTTCATTGTACTTAGTGTCTGCTTCTCTGACAGTTATGATTTGAACTGGGGGAACCGGGTTGGTACAAAGAAAAAACACAAACTGGTAGAGCAAATAGTAACTCCATGATGTAGAATAAATGGGAATTATTAAAATTAATAAAGAACTTGTCACAATTACATATAATTTTCTAACAAAGTAATGTATATTTTTTAAGTAAAAAGCTTATTTTAAATAAGATTTACCTTGTCCTTGAAGATGAGATATATCTAGACCTTCTTTCAGGCGAATAACCACTACTCCATATTGTATGTCAAAGGCATCACTATTTAAAAAAAAAAATTACAAAGTTTCTATTAAATAAAGACAATAGATGATCTCTAAAATTATTTTCAGATTTAAATGTTTGAACTTTTTAAAACATGCTTTGAAATTACTCAGTGAGATACGCATAACAACATTAATGGAGATCCCAGGCCATCCCTGTCTCCTCCTCTGATACTCCTGAAGACCACTTTGTGCATTTTGTGCATTTGCATAGTAGGGACACTCTACCCACAGCAGCTGTGTGAAGCAAAATGGCACTTCTACCCTATAAAGCTGAGTTATGAAAGAACAAATTTCAGTAATCTCACATATTTAAATTTAAGATTTATCCCCTTAAAGCCAAGAAAAATACATGAAGGCAAAGAAAAGAGATTCTGCTAGAAATGAGAGCAGGCAGGAGAGCAGGAAGAAACCATTCCAAAAGGAGAAGAGGGTATTTTAGCAGAATTTTTAAAGGGTACAAAATGGTTTAAAAAGTAGTCTGAAGATTTTACATCCATCTGCAGATATACTATAGATTCATATCGCCTTTTAATGTTTTAAAACACTATGGGAGCATTTGTGTTTTAAACACATTAAAACCTGAAAGACAGCTCTAAAACAAAACTCTGAAAACTTTTCTAAGAATGTAAATCTCCATTTTAACCTGAATTCTTCTCAAATCTACTGAAAGAATTTTAAATTCCAAAACTTCAGATTGTTTTCCAAGAGTGGTAAGGGGTTTAACCTTTATTTTTGATTATTATCTTTCATCAAATAATCAATGTTCACTGTTGACATATGAAAAATAATGATATATTAATACATAGCCAAATATAATAAAAAGAAAAGGCTAAAATCTATTCAAATAGTAAATTATTATTCCTACTGACAAAAGAATATGTTTAGAGTATAATGTGTAGTTATAAAAGGTTGCTGTTGTTTTTAAATCATTGAGAGATTATTAGGCTTCATTCCTATGATGAATTAACTAAGGTCAAAAGAGATTCACTGGAGAAAAAATAAGGCATGTTAATTTTTCTCAGTGAATTCAACCTCTGGAAAGGTCTAATTAGTATTAGAAAAGAAATTACCCTCAACATTCAAAAATAGCAAATAAGTCAACTGAATCAACATAAATTTCTTTAATAATAAGCCAGGAAATATAGTTCCCCAAGTTCACTTTGGATTAAAACAGGTAAATGTTTTGCTATAAACTACAAGAACTGATTTGAGGTTCAGACCTTACATGCTGTTAATAACAAAGGAATAGGTATAGAAACACCCCTCAGCTGTAGCAGGTGTTCAGAATCACAGTCCAACACTGAGTACCACAAGACAAAGAATGACAGTGTCACTGCTTTAAAACTGCTATTAACTCAGAAGGGTCTAAAAACCAGAAAGCAGTAGTTTGCCTATCCTTTAACTGCGGCCTGATGTATAATACTTGGAAGAATGCTTAATTTTCATAGCAACCATTCACTTTAATCCCTACAAGGTCAAAGCCAAAATAGTGCTCCCATTTTAAGTCACTATGATGAATAATATAGCAGGTATATGAAAGAGTCATTTGCAAAAATTTCACTTTTTCTAAGATAATTACATCATCTCACTGGTCTTGAGTCTTGGAAGAGAAAAAGCATCATCTGTGGGTCACAGGCTTTCAGGGCCATGACCTAACTTATTTATTCTTTCTTTCCAGTGTCTTCTTTCCCTAATCCCCATACAGAGTACAGAATTAGAAAGCCACAGTAAGACTCTGCTTATAGAAAGTAAAAACCCAGAGTGAATCAGCAGAGTTTAATTTTACTAAAAGCATTTAACAAGTAGTTGGGTAATTCTGTTCATCACGTATGTTCCTCATTAATATAAAGCGCTACTAAAAAATACAAAGTAGAATCTGAGATCTGGTTGCCTCCTTATCAAGACAAAACTGTCACACGTGAGGCAGCCAAATAACTAAGTGGTTATTTCTAAAACTGCAACCTGGAGATTTCAAGGGAAATCACTCCATTGAGTTAAAGGTAATTAGATAAAAATGCATAAGAAAAAAAAAAGTAAGAAAGAAAAAAAAATATACAAGAAGAAATTCAGAAAAACCCGGGTTTAAATCTTAATCTTAGAGCTACTGTGTTAAGTGTTTTTGTTTTTTTAAAGGACAACTATTTGTATATGAAGAAATACTTCTTATCAAGGAAAAACCAGTTGTATTTCATCAGTGGTTAGGGCAAGAAAAAAAACTATATTCCTCAATTAAGTAAGGTGCAATGAGAGGGAATGCTTATTATCAGCGTGAACAGGATACATAGATTAGTTAGGCAAATATCAGTACAATAAGAAAGAAAGGGAGAGAGAAAGAAAATCTGTCAAAAACAAAAAAAGTTTTATTCTTTTTTTAAATAACTCAATTCCAAAAGGCATTTGTAGTAGATTACATTAAACAGGTACATACACAAACATCCATGAACACAAACCACAAAAACAAAGTAACAAAAGAATAAAAAGAACCCACTAGATGACCCATTAAAGGCAAATTACAAGTGAAATGAAACAAAACTAAGCTATATGATAAAGATCATTAGAAATACCACTGAAAAGTGAATCCTAAATGCAAAACTTAACACTTTAGAGCAAAGCAAAAACATGTTAAGTACATTTAAATAAAAGAAATGTAAATAGCTGAGAATGAACCAAATGATTAGCTGCAAAATGTATGCAGGGGGTCTGCAGCTGATATCAGCCATGCAATGGCCTGCCCTCAGCAGAAGATACTATAAGGACCTAGGCTAGAAGGTGATGGGACTGAGGACATTTGGGAACTCTGCTCAGCAACAGCTGCAGGACAGGAAAACGCTTACTGACTTCAGTGGGAAGCCAGAGTACAGACACATAAATATACACATGTGTGTACATGCATATAAATATATGTGCTTGTCTGTAAAGAGATACAGAAACAACAATCAAAAAACTTTGGTAATAGATCATCAATTTAAAACCCATATGATTCATGTGATTCCTTTCATTACTATATTTGTATTTGAAGAGATTAAATGAGAAAACAGGCTTCAAAAATTAGGGT